TACAAAGGGGTTTACATATCAAACAGGAGAATTTAGCATTGAAATAGCTGAGTGATTAGCTTGTGACTGGTCACAGAAATGGCTATGTTAAAGTCAAAGCCTACACATCCACAGAGGCACCTAGTACAAATCAAACAGGATAATTTAGCATTGAAATAACTGAGGGATTAGCTTGTGACTGGTCATAGAAATAGCTATGCTAAAGTCAAAGCCTACACATCCACAGAGGCATCTAGTATAAATCAAACAGGAGAATTTAGCATTGAAATAACTGAGGGATTAGCTTGTGACTGGTCATAGAAATAGCTATGTTAAAATCAAAGCCTAACATAGCCATTTCTGTGACCAGTCACAAGCTAATCACTCAGCTATTTCAATGCTAAATTGTCCTGTTTGATTTGTACTAGGTGCCTCTGTGGATGTGTAAGCTTTGACTTTAACATAGCTATTTCTACGACCAGTCAAAAGCTAATCACTCAGCTATTTCAATGCTGAATTCTCCTGTTTGATATGTAAACCCCTTTGTCAAGGTGCCTCACTTCTCTAAACCAGCTTAAAAGACGCTACGAATCTTAACAACGTTCATTGAAGCTCTGTCGTCCCGACAGGTCTGTTCCTTTCACCTGAGGAAGGCCACTTGTGTTGTGGCCGAAACGTCGTGAGAATTTTATTGTGTTATTTTATTTTATTAACTTATTATTTTATTCTCATTCTACGTGACTTTACCGAAAGAACCAAAGAAGATGAATCCTTGCAGTCACGAAAGCTTTAAATAGAAATTTAATGCATTCTCTTTGAAACGTATTGGCCTACACCAGAGACAGCCTTCTTTATCTACGTATTTATTTGGTTACTTATATTCTCCACAGCGACGATATTTCATCATCTTCCTTGGTTCTTTCGGTAAGGTCACGTAGAATGAGAATAAAATAATAAAATAACACAATAAAATTCTCACGACGTTTCGGCCACAACGCAAGCGGCCGTCTTCAGGTGAAAGGTACAGACCTGTCGGGACGACAGAGCTTCACCTGAAGACGGCCGCTTGCGTTGTGGCCGAAACGTCGTGAGAATTTTATTGTGTTATTTTATTATTTTATTCTCATTCTACGTGGTGACTTTACTGAAAGAACCAAAGAAGATGAATCCTTGCAGTCACTAAAGCTTTAAATCGAAACACAAGCCTCTTTTCGGGCAATTCTGCCAAATTGATGCTGGATGTAATTAGCAGCGCAACGTCGTACTCAAATTGTAAATGTTGTGGATTTACTCTCCTACACACCGGTGGGGGCTTAAGTAGTAACTAAATGGCACGTTTTGTTTACGTGACAAACCTTACCAATTCACTATCGGGTGGTGGTAGGGGGTTAAAGACACATTTATACATCCGCGATCTAACACCAAAAAAAAACTTTATTATGAATAATATTGTTCGCGAAACCCTCTGTCTTGCTATGGTATACGCTGAGGATCACTCTTGCGTTTGCAGGTAGCCTGTGGGACGCCTACCAGCAGGACAACCTTTCCTTGGAGGGCCTGGGCAATGCATCGGACTCCCTGTGCCATTCTCCCTGCCTATCGGAGCACGCTGCATGCAGTGTGACCGACACGGATGTCCCGTCGCCCGCCTACACGTGCGCTGCCAGCACAGCCGATTGCAAAGCGACGGGCGGCATCAGTGCCATCTTCAGCACGCCGCCGCTGTACAGCAGCCTGGGTGACGAGCTGTCACTCACCTACCTCTGCAATCCAGCAGCAGGGGCTCAGCTCGTCACGCTCATGTGATAGCAAAGCCTCGTTTGTGCCTGGATAGCAACGAGACTCATTCGCTGGGCGAGTGATTGTTTTTTTGTTGCAGCAAGATTGACTGAAAACTTCTGAGCGGCAAGCTTAAATTTCTCTTTAAAGCCAAGAAATGTGTGTATATATTTCCAGTATTATGTCCTAATTTTGCCATGTTTTGAGCAAAAAAATGCGTATTTTTTGTAGAATGAACGTATCTTAACTGTTGAGAAAGCATTTCTTATTTTGATACAAAAGTGTAATCTGAATGTCCATGTGCGTGGCCATATCAATGTCGTGTTCCTTAAGGCATTACTTTACACATGAATATGTTGCCTTTATTAAATGAACTTTTAAGCTCCATGGTCCCAAGGAAGAAGCTGCCACCACCCACAGTAAAGACTTTAGCTTTGTTTGCGTTCAAGGGGCACTCATTAACTCGTTTCACGAGGCTGCTGTGCTTGCAGGAATGTACTCCAATAGTTTTTTTTCCTAAGTAAACGATAAGGCTTTTCGTTGTCTCAGCTGTATTGTAAACGTATAAGGTTATATAAACTGGTCATGTAAACTGGCGTTAAGGAACGACCAAAAATACTGCAGTGTGCACCTGTATTCGTATTATTTATGTTTTTTTTTGTCCACAATAACCACTCAATAAATGAACAACCTGTTTGCCAATTCCTGTGCTACAAATGCAATGCACACCTGTCCTGAACTTTGTAAATAATACGCAAAGATAATACCGACTATAATCACTCAGGAATGTTTGTCCTTAACGCTCGTGACGACACTCCATCGACCAGCCTTCATTAATATTCATGAGCAGGTGACGTCCTCCACATGGTCACCCCCCCCCCCCTCATTAATACGCGAGCAGGTGACGTCACTTCCATGGAGTGTGATGGTTTTCACACTGGACTTGCATCAATATCTGAGGTTTCTTAAAGCCCTCCCACCTCTGCCCACCCATCAGTACAAATGCGTTCACCACTCGATCGGCAGGTGACGTGAGTGGAGCAAGGTTGGAAAAGTTCGACAAAAAGGCCCTTTCGAGCCGTCCCTTGTCCTCCCTCTAGTGGATGCCTTTCTGCAAGCATGGGCCATCTAGCCAAGACTTGCAGTTTGTGTATTTCGAATGTGCCCATACTGTGTACAGTCGTTTTCAGCTACGGTTTAAATGTCTCCCTTACAAATCGTTGACTTCCTTACAAATCAATCTTGATTTAAAGCTTTCGTGACTGCAGGAATCCATACTCTTTGGTTCTTTCGGTAAAGTCACGTAGGTAGAAAATAAAATAAATCACGACGTTCCGGGCGCAGCACAAGCGTCCGTCATCATGCTTTCCCACCTTATGACGGACGCTTGTGTTGCGCCCGAAACGTCGTGATTTATTCCTTACAAATCATTGTTTAATGCCACTTGCTTTTCAACATTTTGGTGGTAATTTCTACATCGTAACTGCTGATGAATAATAACTCTCTCCCAAGTCTGTTGTACCAGGATGTATACAATTGAATATACATTTGTACACTTTTGCCAAAGTTCAAAATTCAATATCCACATCAAAGATTGAATTGCAATTTCAAGGTACCATTTTGACAATGCTTATGGTAATATTTGGATCCAAATTGTTGAAATTTGAAAACCGATGCTAAACAAAATGTGCTTATTCGCAGCGACTGGATTCACAAATAACACTGCATTGACATTGGGAAACAAGCCAATGTTACGCGAGTTGTATTCCAAATTACAAAAGAAACGAGGTGAAAATTTCAGTACACTTTATCAAAATTTATTTCTTCAAACAAGACACAAACATAAAAAATGCTCAAATAAAAAATACAAATAATTGTCTTTTTTTTGTCTAGCTTACCATACACATTTTCACAGCCACATAAGAGTAAAATAATGCTCATTGTCACCTCCAGCAAACATCACAGGGGATGTGTGGGGGGGGGAACACCGATGTTTCCAAAATCCCCCTGTGCAAGTATTTTTGCCTCGAGAAAAAATTTTTTACTTCTGAAATACAGGATAATTTACACCTCTTGAACTAAGCACACACCAACAAAAATCAACAACGGAGGCTCATGTTGCAGTGTGCATCAAGCAGTCTTTGCGCCTAATCACCTGTACAGCTGGATACAACTAAAACACACACACAAATTGGGAGCTAAATAAAATACACATGTACAGTCTGCATAAAAGATAAAAACAATGTAAACAATTGACCAGAAAAACACGTGAAGTAGAATGATTGTGTCCACCCATCTCACTGTGTGGAGTTTACCTTCATAATTGTGGGGGGGGGGGTTCTGGTACGGGAGCAAACAACAACAACCACTGGGTTGATCATGGTAAAAAAACAACATAATTGACGCTCAAGATAGCGTCCGCGCTTCAGTGACAACCTATCACAGTAAGCCACAAAACCTTCAGAAATATTCCAACTTGGGGGGGCGCGGTGGGCATCCTTGTTAGAAACTTGGGAGTGATTATAATTATATAACAAAAACCTTTACAAGAGATTACATTTTTGGTAGCAATCGCTGAATGGTGTGTATATATAAAAAAATAACTGCTACAATATTAAATTACAATTTGCGTGCAAGTACTTTTGGGACTTACGCAGCGAATGGCAATTTTTAAGGTGATAGGTTCTCATGTGTGGGTTAAATGACAACAAGAAAAGCACCTCCACATGGCCTTCCCCTCCTCTGGTTACCGAGTATACCGATAAGCATAATTATCAATAATTATATCAATGAGAATAATTATCATATAAACTAGAAATGGTATAGCACCCCAACAGCGACATCACCTTCATTGTTTTAGGCTGGGTTCAAACTGACTGTGCAAAACTAAAAAAGAACAAATCAACAAATGATCCACTGAGATTTGTTATATAACATCCACACTAATGGCCAGGAGAACTCACCCAATGTGTGCAAAAGGCAAACGTTCCCTTGACATATATACACACACGTACACCCATATACACAGAATTTTATATAAAATGCACATTTACTTATAAATGTTTCAGCAGATAAATCAGCCAGTGCCTCAACGCAAAAAAATACGTTGCGAGTCCACAGGAAAATTTCCACAGGATTTCACCAAATCACCATTAAAATTCACACCGCCGATAAGCTCTCAATAAATTACAAAGTAACACACTCCCTGAATCAGAATTATATATTTAAAACAGTTTGTTTCCCTCTTCAAACTGAACTCTTGTTGTACACACACTAGGGAATGAGCAACAGTACCACACATCCCAATAATGTTGCAAGTGCAGCTTTTCAAGGTTAGGTCTTCCAGTCTTGGCTCACATATGCAAGCAGGTTGCATACAGACACTAAGCTGATACTTATATGAAGCCAAAATCTCTGTTTATCACCAAGCGTGTGTGTACACGTAAATTAGCTCTAGATTCATATTCAAGCATCAGGGCAGCCTTGCCAACATAGAAGATGGCTTCGTGAGTATTTGATCGAGTGGACTTAATATCTTCAAGTTCCCTGGATGCTGTCCGCGGTTGGCATCATACAGTGTTGTAGAGAGGGTTAGTGGTGCGCTTTTTTTCACTTGTCTTTTTCAAGCGTCGCAACGGATGGGTCCTGCCATGCTGCTGTCTTTGCACAGAGGACCCCGCGTCTTGAGTTGCCGCAGTCACAATGCTCTGTGAACCGTGTGCATCATCTCCCGCTGAAGATTCAACCCTCTGAGTTTGCAACACAGGCAACTGTGACCGATTACCGTCATCGTGCGCCAGAATGTCAATTGGTTTGGTTGAGCAAATAATCACACTCGAACGTTCTCCCTGTGATGGTTCTCTTTGCCCAGACCTCTCTGTTGAAAGGACACGCTTCAGTTCCATTGGCTCCACGGGATCCAAGGAGGCCTCGTCATTCGTGTCTTCCTGGCAGAGTCCGAAAGAACCCAGCTTTGCCAGAGAGTGTGAACGTTTCATCCGAGAAGGGGTGGTCAAGCCAGCTTGACGGTTTTTCGACTCAATCTCTTTGGCTTGCTGCCGGACACGGCCACTGGACAGTGTATCATTAACACCGATCTGCAGGCTATCTATGCTGCTGCCAATGTACGGCGTGGGAGAGAAGAGCTGGAGGTTTGGCCGAGGTGTGCTACTGGATTTCTTATCGTGCACTAAAGTTTCGCTGGTGCCAAGTGGCTTCACGGAAATTCCGTGTTTATTTTCAACGTCCGTTTCGGTTACATTCCTGCACTCCGCCGCTTTTTCCGATTCAATTTTGCTGTCAATTTCAGTGTCCGTGTCCGTGCTGGTGTGTGTGACCCCGTGGACTATGAAAGCCGTCGGATGCTCACACGTGGGTGCATCCCTAACAGCGACAGACAAGGAGAGTAAGCAAAATGGGGTTGATCTGGGTGGAATTTCGATGTCCCTCCCTGTTCTCAAGTCGGCATTATGCTCGGCGAGATCTTCACCCAAGTTAGTAACATGCTCCTCACCCTGCCTCGCAAAGCCTGTGGAAGAAGCTGCCTCATCACCAACCGGAGCCGCTCTGACAGAACTCGACGGCGATGACAGCTTTTCATTGAGCTCTTTCGTGTGCTTTTTCACCAGGCCTTTTTCTTCAAGAAACACCAGTGACTCTTGATGGTAAAGCTTGGATGGCCTCCGTGACGGAAGTAATAAACTGGTACTGCCATCTGGGTTCTCTTCAAACACAACTTCCATACTGGCCTTATTGTCCGACTCACTGTCAACAGTGCTTGACTCATTGGAGCCTTTGCCATGTTTCATGGCAGGGTTGAAGACTGCAGGAGTATACTCAATGATTTCTATTGTCCTCTGAGGGGGTTGTGCGTCTGCCCTCTCGACAGCAGGTGGCGCCGCCACATCACTTGTATCATCGCAGTGCCGCGAGTCGACCACAACTTCTTCTGGAATGATCACTTCGCAATGTTCCACGTTGGACACAAGAGGGCTCACTTCGCTCAGCTTGGCATAGACAGGATCGTGACTTTTGAAGGGCTCTGCTCCTTTAAGTTTAGATGGGCAAACCTCTTGTGCTTTTTGCAGCATTACCACAGCAACATCTTCACTCTTAGTGGCATCCGGTTCCAGATCGGGGCTTTGCACATCGTCTTTATGTTGCTCATCTTCCCTCCAATCTTGCTTTCTTTGCACACTCCTCTGCGTCGTCGCGGCTTTAACCTCCACCTCACCACTTTGCTCTTCCCCCTTTCTGCTTTTCCACACTAAGTCGCGGCCAATCTTTCCGTCGTTTTGGGAATTCTTGCGACTGAGCGATGCTCCCACAATCGGGCTGCTGGCCGTGGGCTCGTGCTCCTTAAAGCGCTCCTCCAGCTCCTTGGTGGCACGGCGCACAGTCCCGTGCATCATGGTACGGTCGGTGTGCAAGCTGGACGACCTTCTCAGGTTCACCAAGGCACTGGAGGATTTGTCTCGGTCCCGTTCAGTGTGAGGCGCGTCCGACCTGGACTGAGTCGACCTCCCTTCGGCGATTTGAGAAATGTCACTCGCTCCTGTCGAGCATTGAGCAAATCCGAAGGACGTCGTGGAATCGTGACCTAATGACCCTTTACGGCAATGACCTAGAGATGGCACGGTGATGGGTCGCACCATTTCAGGAAGATTGGGAACTGCACCTTTGGGTACAGTGCCGTCCTCCCTAGGACAACTAGCTACGAGCATCGGGGAAGAGACTGCTACTTCAGCAGCACTGCCTTGACTCCATCCTGCCGAAGAGGACTCCATTCCAGTCACAATTTCTTTGACAGAAACTGGAGGAACTTCAGCCTGATTCAGTATCTTCACGAGTTCCTGAGCAACAATAGGCAAAAATAATATCGGTTATTATTTGGAAACATTATTCAAAGAACACAAACCAACGAGAACCGAAAGCAAATAAATAGCATAAAATAAATGGACATTAAGAAAAATGAAATAGTTTCTAACATATAAATAACACTCAAGCATCAATTGTGATTCAAAGCTATGAGCAAGTACATTTAATCAAAGCCTACAAATGTATCTAGGAGCAAATTACTATTAACAAAACCAAAGCCAAACAATGTTATGGTATTGTCTAACCTTGAGGTCACTGTTGTTGTTATTATTATTGTTGTTGTTATTGTTGTTGTTGCTGTTACTGCTGCTGTTGCTGGTATTGGGAGCAGCATCATCCTGGGTGTTGTGCACGTCCACCTCTTGACTATTGCGCTTGTCTGTGGAGGCGCTCGTTCCATCCGAGACGCTAAGCCGAGTTCCGGTGGAACGTATGGCAGGGCCCGGCTCCTCGCTTCGGGACATCAGTCTCTCCCGGCCTTTATTCTCCTGGGAGAGCTCTTCATTTATGACAAGAAAAAAAAGACCAGAGCAGCACAGTTTTCAACTTCAGCTTTACACCATAGTGGCCAATGTGTGTATTATAGCAGTATCCAATATCCAGGCTGGCGAAGTATAGAGCAAGTAACACCTAAACTTAAACTGTTTTTTTTATTGCACCAGGTAAGGCCCACTGAGCTATATAACTGTGTTTTATAAACAGCATGGCCACAAATGATAGTTCAACAAAGTGGCTTATCATGTGGAAATGTATAGCAGTCTACTATGCTAAACACTTGTTTCTAAATGTGGAGGGAAAACCCAGAGGACCTGGAGAAAAACCCAAACGACCACGGGCAGCACATGCAAACTCCAAATATACAGGCGTGAGGGTCGGGTTCAATACCACAATCTCCTGCCTACCAGGCAAGGTAGTTAACATCTCGCCACCGCGGCGCCCCTGCATTGTAGGTATAAAGCAAGGGGAATGGCCATATAAATATACTTCAATATAATATACAGGTATAAGCAATTGTCAATCCATTGCTGGATGAGGGCCTCCCAACTCCTTGCGGGTCAAATGGGATTTTTGGCCACATTTTACCATGCTGGTCATCGCAGGTTGAAGAAGGTGAGGAGTGCAGAACTATAATGGATTGTTTTCACTGCTCTCTACTGTCCACAATGCCATACATTTTGCACATGGTGGTCACCGATCAAAGCAATATCCACCAGGCTGCATTCCGCTTAGCTTCTGAGATGATAAGGCCTTGCGTATTTCGGGATATTTTGTGATCGCCTCTATTACTATGACGGCCACTATAAGGTCTGTTGTATTAATTAAAAGTGCACGCTGTGAACAATTGTCAAGTATTCAATGTGATTACATAAATGTGGCATATTACTGCTTCAACTTCACGTATTGTTAACGCTTAAAATTTGAAAATGATCATAATTGTAGCGAAAAAAGTTACCTTTGAATTTCTCCATGGCGCTGAAGAAGTCTATCTTGTCCTCGGTGCTTGTCGTTAAGCACGCCTGCGGAGGCGATTCTGGCAAGGGGACCGCCGCATGTCCAGCGGCGGACGTTGACGCCGCAGGGCCAGGCTGCTTTTGTGCGGCGGAAGACACCACCTCCTCGGCGCCTCTTCCACTGCCTCTCTGAGGCACCGCCGCCGCCACGGTCAAGCCTTCGTGATGGCTCGTCGAGGTCACCTCTGCGTCAACAGTCGTGGCATGATCCCCCGTTTCATTTGTGAACTCTGTAGGGCCGCCACCAATGGGCGGGGGCGACGGTTCAGGCTGGGAATGCTGATGGCCAGCGACGGCATCCTCTTGCTCCTCGTCGGGGCTCTTAGGCCACACAGCAAGGCCGCCCCCCGTGGGCCACGCCATGGCGGCGGCTGCTGCACAGCTGGAGGTGCTCGACAAGCAGAACAATTGGGGCTCGTCCAGGCACGAGCGGTTGTTACCTGGACACGCAAAAAAAAAAACGAAACGTGACGACCAAATTGCAATACGCATGTTCAGTGCATATCAGCAGCAGTTGACTTTCGTTTTGACTTGCAATATTAATTTAAATGACTGCATTTGACAATGTGTGTGTTGTACGCGTACATGTGTGCGTGTCGTTCTACAGTGTAAAAACGCAATTCAATGTTTTGCTACATATGCAAAGTAAGAAAGTGCACACTCTGATACGCGACTTCATATTAATTTTCACAATGCCTGTGTGATTTCACGATTAGTATCAAAAAATAGGCCGGCAATAGTTGAGTTGTACTACTGTTTGAATGAGGCACCTTCAATCTTGTTTAATAACCACACAATCAGGCTGCTTTTTTTGTGTTTAGTTTGTGCCCCCCCCCCCACCGCACCTCCGATTAGCACGGTTGGCTACGTACGGTGCGAAATAAGTTCAAAGTACACACAGACATTGCACATCTGCTTATGCAAACATTTTAAAACGATGGGGAAGAAAAAAAAAATCCCCTATGCAAAGCCGAGTTGCTGACAATGCAATGGTAAAAACCCTCACCATCTCCTGCTCGGGTGATGCCAGTCATTCCCGTGTCCCCCAGCTCAAACGGGTAGAACGTGCTCTCCTTTGTGAACGAGCGCGAGCGTGTGGTTTGCACCTCGTGCGATGGGGACAGCTCCTCTGGGCAACGGTGTCCGAGAGCGCCCGTTCCCCCAGCCTGCAAAGCGACGGCGACGTTCGATCGCATCAACAAATTGATTTTGACAAATACGCAAGTGATACCGCACACAAACGCAGCATTGCAATAAAACTTCACTTATTCACGCGAAGCCGCGTAGAAAAGTAATTTGCTGCTGCCACTGTAAATGTAAGGGTAATTCTCTATAAATGATTCCCCTAAAAAGGTTTAAGTGCTAGGGCATATAAATAAGCTTCCATTCTTATGTGCAAGATACTTGCATTGAATTGTGCGTGAGAATCGATGGCTTAGGATACGTGTACATTGCATTAAAAAAAAAACTGTTCGCACGTACAGAAAATAACATGGATTCATTTGACATGAGACAATATAAACTACCTTGAAATGCAGAATGAATAATTTAACGTGTTATAAATTTGAAATGAGTTAATATTAAAAGCTAATAAAATATTAACGTAAAAATATATTGTTAAAAAGGCACACAGTAAAAAAAAAACAGCACTTGCTTGCTGAGAACTAAAGCAAAATCACACAGGTTGTAATCGGACAAATTGCCCCTCGTAAAACGCGTCTGTGTAGGCGAGGTCTGCGGACAAATGGGAGGAGAGCCGTGGTCTACGTACCATGTGGTGCTTGGATCCTTGTAACCCGCCAGCAGGCTTCATGAGACGCTCACTCAAGTTGCTATCCGAGTGCGAGCGCCAGAGCTTATTGTGTCTTTGCTTACTGCAAAGTAAAACAACATGAAAACTCAACACCGCATCCGCACGTCATCTCTTCGGAGCTTATAATTGCACGCTCAATTAATGTGTGCATGTTGAACTGCTTTCACACTGTACATAGTCAACTGTGATAATTGGAGGTGCGGGGGAAGGGCAACAAACTGAACACAAAAAGGTCTAAAGAAATTAGTTTTCAATTTAGATTTAAAAGTGCATAGCTCCAGTGTATTTCTAATATCGGAAGAGCATTCTTAAATGGTTAGCCAAAAGCCACTGCGAGGATGACCAGAGTTTGCAGGATAGTTACCGAATGCGTATAAATGCAGCCTTTAGATTTGTTATAAGACATTTTTCCTGTAAATGTACCAAATTTGTTTTATGGCATAGTAAAAATGTTTTTCTACATTCTGTTTAATAAGAATTTATTTCCCCGAAAACATGGGTGTCCACAGATTTTGCTGAACACGTGTTCGCATGGTACAAATGTCACTCAACAACCGCAAAGCTCATATGACCGAGAATATCGTGAAAAATCCTAATGCTATAACAAAGCAACAAAAAAGACGATGGCAACTCAGCCCAACGAGACATCGTTAATTGTTTTAAAGGTTTTCCCACCCTATCCGACATGCGTGCACGCACAAACGCACGTACAGACGCGTACGCATGGCGCAATAACTCACACCCAGACGCTCGTGTTCTAACACACGTGCTAATCTTGCTGGTATGCAGCATGGCTTCTCCTTTCTAAACACTAATGTACCCCCCCCCCCCACCATTGCCAGTCTTTCCCAAAAGATCCACAGATCTCGGTAATGGTATTGCTTCGCTGTCTGAAATAATCCATCATCATCGCTGGATAAGTTATGCAATGTGAAGTGTACGTGGATAGACAGGCAGATTGGCACATTTCCTAAGTGTAGCTATAAGTAGTCTCATGGTTGCCTTAAAATTTGTAATTTAATCAAGTGTTGGAAGGGTAAAATAAATGGCAGGCGCAGCAACAAATTGTTGCTCGTGGCGTTTCGAGGAACGTGTTCCAATTAAAACAGCATTTCAACAACAATAACAAACAAGCCAGCAGGCACACGCAGAGTGTTACTTAATACCAACGGAACAAGAACACCAACCTAAATACACTCAGTTGAACAAAGATGAAACCAGAGTTACATCTCTTTATCTAGTCTGTCCGAATTTGTTGCTTAATTAATTCACAGCTTTTTTGTCAAGCCCACTGGTCGCTAAAAGCCATTCCCATAATCTCGGGTCACGGGGGTTGTTTTGACCATACTTTACCGCATTGATGAAGAGATGTGGGGGTAGCCAGCACCAGTTCTGATGTCACTCACAGTTGAACGTTAGCCGTGGCCAGAAATAAGCCAGGTTACCAGGTTCAGTGCGGTGCATTAACCACTGCACAAACACTCCCCGCTATTCTAAGGGATTAAATGTATTTTTATTCTCTAACCACAGAAATGTAATTTAATTCATTATTTAAGAAGGAATTTGAGTGTATAATTAAGTCCTGTCAGCCACTATATCTCTGAGAAAATCAAGGAGGTAATGTTATACCCAGTATGGCAAGTGTAAACATCATCATATGACACCAATGGAAAAAGAGAATATGTCCCCAAGACTAATGTGTAAGACAAACGTTCCTGGAATAAAAGCTCAAATTAAGACTGCACAACAGTCGAGTAATATTATTTGTACTTAAATTATATAGTTGAGAAACCAAAACAAGGAAAAGCTGTATACCAGAATCCATTTACAGTATACAACTAGTGTTTTTCATGTTTAGATCATAATGGGCAACAATCCATTACGATCGCAAATCATGTCCACAGCATGATGACATGGCAATGGGCAAGAGATGCTCTTAGCACGAATGTGTATATTAAATGACTGTTTACATATCTGCCATTGTTTATCCACTGCTGGATGATGAAGACCTCCCTACATCGTACGTGAGATAATCTCAATGCTCCATCTCCTCGACAGTTATCCTCTCGGGCAGATCCCTCCACTGGCTGTCGTTATACGTCACCAGCCTTGTCCATTGGCCATGAAAGCCTTTGAGGTGTGCGTTCCTTCCAACACCCAATTACTTTTCTCAACAGTCATTATAACAAAAATATATATAAAACGATATATTTTTATTATTTTATTGTTTCCCTTCAACGTGACTTCACCGAAAGAACCAAGAATATGAATCACTGCAGTCACGAAAGCTTTAAATCAAAAGTCATTATAACGTTTCTGATTTGCGTTTGTTCTTTGTTCCACATTATTGCTCTGTCTCTCACGCAATTCGCAGCATCATTCTCTCCGTGCTCCTTTGTGTAACTTTTCAGATTTAAGTTCCATTTCGTTTATGATACGTATCATAGCTAGCAGTATTCCATACTTACAAATTGTTCTTCCTAAAGAATTCCAGTATGCTCCCTTTTCATGACCATATAATATCCTTCAAAAGTACTTCAACGTGCCCTCATTCGCCTCTTTAGTTCATCACTATTATCCCGTTCCACCTTCACACATTCATGCAGATATTCCCACTCCGTTGGAGCTTCAAGTTGCGTGCACCCTTCTGTTCCGAAAATGTATTTTGCGTGTATTTATCTTGACTGCCACTTTGTATACTAATTTGTTAAGATATTTAAACATGCCTGTAATTTAGTACTATTTGGTTGTTATAATGACTATGTCAGAGAATCCAAAATGATAACACCCTTTCACCATTTGATTCAAGGTTGGTAGCCTCATTTGTATGCTTTCAATTCTCCAAAACAGTTTTTGGAAAAATGCTTCGAGACTCTCTAAGAATAGCCTTGGTGAAAGAGTATACCCTTGCCTGACCCTTCTTCTGATTTGTAGTTTGTTGTTTTATATAAGACCGTCGTGGATTTATAGTTTGATAATCTATATAAATTGTTTTTAACCTTCATTTGCGAGAGCTTAAATGAATAAAGAATTTTACTTTTTTTGTGCGATGTTATGATTCATTAAAATATAAATTTGACAAGTCAACATCATTGGTGTCGATGTTTATTTTTAAAACACCATGGATAAATACTAATATTTACTAAATATTTGTCCAATTTTGAATATCACATTAAGGTCACATATGCACCTGAAAGTTCATTATTTCATAACCAATGCTCAGCCATAAGAGTAAACACTAAACCAAAATATAGACTGCCATGCCTGACTAAAAATACACACTCACATGACTGTTTCTATGGCGTACTCTTTTTTGAAGCAGATGAAATGTGGGCACATGACAAGCCTTGAATACTTAACACTGAATATCATATTGTGGTTGCTGAAAACTCGCATGCTAATACGATCTTGGAAGGTGGAACAATCAGCAATGAACTTAATAGTTGTATCCTTTTGGTACACACCAACATCTACTTTTCAAATCTGGCGTCACAACTTGACACACGTCACAGACACTCAAGTACCATTTCTAATTCAATAACTTGGTAGTGAATTGCTAGTAAAATGCAATACATATACTTTGATATTCTGAAATACCTATGGTCCGTTCACATTATCAGACTTGAACAAAACCGGGTCTGTACTCGTAAATGCCAATTCACTTTGCATAGATGTGAATCTTAACCGCATCTTCATTACAGGATGTATATTTAGACCGATACGATTCGCGGCAATGGTTCTTTTTAGCACGTGAGTTTTTTGCAGCCCCTGACCATGCCCCTGACAATCCAATCGTGGTCTTCATGGTGAGGCCACTTGGAGAGGGAACACTCTCAGTGTGGGGCCCTAACCTGGAGGATCACACTCACGCAGCAATGGTTCTGCTACCCACCTGGCATCAAGGATGCCCTGGTACTCCTCCAGTTGTCGCATGAAGCTCGCGTTGGGCTTTGCAACATTGCGCTTCTCTTTGACAAAGTTGAACGCCTTGTCCAGACTCCAGCCGTACTCCTTCATGGCATAGGCGATGACAGTGGAAGCAGAGCGGCTCACTCCCATCTTGCAGTGCACAAGGCACTTTGAGCCGCTTTTTCTGTTTATGCAGAAAAATGTAGACACACGCACACACATACAGATATATATGACCTGACACCAGGAATCATGGTCATGATCGTAATAAGAGTGAGTAAAAGCAAGAGATTTCTCTCCACACACAACATTTATGGTGTGAGCAAAGACATAAGGCAGTGCAAAGGGATTATAAAAAGGATTTGTATCATTTAACTGCTACCCCCTTGTTAAATATCTTTTTTATGGGTTAATGATTACAACCCATGTAATGTATTAAATATCCGTCAAAATAGTGTTTGTATACCAAGTTATATCAGTGAACATTTGCCAACTACATTCACATATAAACAGCAGATTAGATTTACACATACAAGATTCCTGCCTATTCGTGATGTGTACACATTTGGCAAAAAAACAGAATCGTTCTTCACAACAACATGCATGCTAGACAACTCACTTGGCCTTTGAAATGAACTTGTAAGTGTCGTTCCAGTAAGCCAAAAGGTCGGTAGCCTCTTCATCGTACACTCGGATATTGTGATACACGAAGAGACCGGGGAAGAAATTGTCAATCTCCCGAGTAACGTTCAGGATGTATCCCACCCTGTAACAACAAGAATGCACTCATTTTGGATCGCAATCAAGAAACCATTAAACGAACAATTTTACTCAATGTAGTAACTACGTCAACAAACACACCAAAAATGGGCCACACGCAACATGTAATGTCTCGATTTAAAGCTTTCGTGACTGCAGGGATTCATATTCTTGGTTCTTTCGGTAAACTCACCACGTAGAAGGGAAACAATAAAATAATAAAAATATAAAACAATAAAATTCTCACGACGTTTCGATTGCTTGTGTTGCAGTCGAAACGTCGTGAGAATTTTATTGTTTTATATTTTTATTATTTTATTGTTTCCCTTCTACGTGGTGACTTTACCGAAGGAACCAAGAATATGTAATGTCTCATTCAATTTAGAACACAATGAAAGCATTAACATTTAGTGCTGGTGGAAAATGGACAACTTAAAAAAAAAACTGAGCAGAGCTTACCCTCTGCTTTGCAGCTCTTCCAAATTGGATGCATTCCACTCTGAGCCCTGCAAGAAACAGCACAAACCAATCAATATCATTATGCTTCAGTGCACAAGATTCCTGGCATCCAAATGCTACGTGTGGCGACTGTTGTTTTACCATCCCCGAACCAACAGTTTTTTCTTCGTTTCGTGTGTAAGAATCTAAAATGTTAAACCAGCCCCCCAAGTGTATTAGCAGTGTCTGAGCCTAAGATCTTGAGCTACACATTTAACGTTGCTGTTGTGTGTTGTTGTATTTGACAGATGTGTAGAGTCAGTTAAACTGAACATGTGCCGAGAAAAGAGTCAAATTTTACAAAGATTCATCAAGTTTATTCATTAGCAAGGCAGTGAAACATTTTATTTGTATACAGTTGAACAGACGAAACGAATCATTTTAAGACAATGATATTTGTGATCATTTTGGCATTATAGTATATATTCAATTGAACATACTTTTAAGCCCTTTGTCAATCCACTGCTGATTTAAGGGATGCCACAACATGTCCATTCTCTCAATAGCCAACTAGGAAACGTGTTGAACTGGACAAATTTTAATACTTATGAAAAAATGTTGACACTGCAATAACGCAGTGGTTATTGCAAACTGCACTTTGAACCCGATGACCTGAGTTTGATTCCCGGCCATGGCTAACACGAGTAACGAAAGACATCCAAACTGGACAGGGATCGCCCCCCACCCTCCCCCATCTTATCAATCTGCACTAACCAGCATGGTGAAGTGTGGATATGAATTTTAGTATTTCTTAAACACTGAGATGCATTTTAACACCACAAGTAAATAATCAGGTATGGGTTTATAACTGCTATTATGACTGACATGCACTTGATGAGCGAGGGAGAGATCGTTTTACATAAGGCCCACTCACACGTCAGAACACAAGGCATACCAGATAGACGTGGTCAAAGATTTCCGATGCACCGTCCATTTGTCCCAGAATCACAATCATCTCATTGTCAATGAATTCACGGTATTCCTTCAGGTTGCAATTCATCAGCATCTCCAACTCTGTGCGGATCTGGAATATGAAATTTAAAGAAAAAAAAGATGAAAAGATGGTTACCTTTAACATTAAAAAAAGATTTCATCAGGCTCTACAAAAGTGTACTGTTAATTCATTTTGAAACACAAATAAAAGACCACTACATGTTGTGCCTTTTGCATGGCAAAGCTACTGATCACCTTCATTCCACCATTAATAAAGAAAACTGGCATCTCAATATCCCAATATGTCAATATGTTAAAAGCTTAAATGAATTGTAAGTAATGGATTCTGATTAAGTATATGCATGAGGATTTATTCAAGCCAATGCAGATAAAAAGCTAAAACATAGTAGTATACATACATACAATAATATGAACCTTATGGCGGGACCCCGGGGTCCCATAAGCCCCCGGCTCTAGCATGAACTGCGTTGCGACGTCATTTTGTGTCTGTTGAAGGCGAACGATACGGCAATCTATTCCTCTCGACGAGCTCTACACGATGCGCCAATCGAAGTTTCAAAGTTTTGTTTCTTCTGCGCATTTGTCCTCGCCGCTGCGCTTGGACGACGACAACAACAACGACAACAGAATGACCTGCGCCAAGTGGGTCGCGGCGTTTATGTGCGCCGTGGGACGGAGTATGCCAAAAATAAATTCCGATTTATCCTTCCGTTCATTCGGGACCCCGGGGGTACCGCCATAAGGTTCACATGAAGTTTTAAAGCTTGGAACTGAGCTCGGAAATAACTCTACTCGCCTCCTTGGACGTAATGTTCTCCAGATCTTTCTGCATCATTATTTCTCTCAGCTTCGTTCGGAGCAGCTTCTCTGTTCTTTCCCGCTCTGTGGGCCTGTGACACCATAAACATTACATTGTGGGGCTTTGCAAGTCTACGTTCACTCACATATGGACACCATCAGCCTCATCGGCAACCACAAAAGTTAATAATTTACAATGCGACATATGCGAATCTAGAAATCTGGCTAGTCCTTTTGCTCGAGATATTGCTTGAACGTCTTGTTCAGATTATATCAATGAGATTCTAACTTTAAGACCAAAAGTGCAATTCTACACTGGTCAACATAGGATAAGTGCCACAACATTCCTCCCTTGCACAGAATCAAAGTATCAGTTGCTCTGAAGTACATTTCTCATTGGTGTGATAGTCATCTAAAGATTAACTGTGTGCATACTGTCTGAACTTACTGGTCAGTGAAAAGTACAGGAGAATCGGAGCGCATGGACTGCAGATCATGCATGGCGTTCCATTCATACACGCAGCTCTGCTCAGAGTTGATTCGACTTTCATAATAACCAACCCATGTAAGGAACAGGCTCCCAGGGTAATAGTTATTTATCCGTGCCATCTCACATGTCTTGTGCAGACACTGGAGTGCGGACCTAAAAGACGTACACAACACAGAATGTTATTTTATTTTAGTATCGTCGAAAATCACATCAGTGCAGTCGACTTACTGAAATAATGGACAATTCTTAGAACGCTATCATGATCACAAACCTGGCTAAAAAGTACACAAATAAAATCTATACTCGTGCAATTTATATGAATTAGACTTACTTTTAAAACCAATAAATAACATAACAATAAAATACTAACTTACCACATGGCTTGCACGGAGACAGGCTTGAATATATGTGTCCGATTCACTGTTGTTACACTGAAGCCACTGCAGAACAGAATAAGAAAACAAATATTACAAACCAACTACCATGATAAAAAGCAAGCTGTAACAAGATTCCCAGTCACTCCGCTGTTGTGAAAGGCCACAATGTGACATCACTTCCATCATGCAGCCCGTGAGCAGCACAACGTATACAGTTCTGCCAACCTGGAAGCGATCATTCACCTGTATATTTTATAACACTACAAAACATAACAGCAACAAGTTCTGGCCATGCGCAGTGCTTGAAGTAAAACAAGTGTCATTATCAACCAAACGATTATAAAATATAACTGCGCAGTTGTCAAAAAAGAGGAGACGTACCCATCGCCATCGAGGTGAATTTTTGTGTCACTCCATAGTGGTAAGACCAACCCAATCGTACACGTGTTGCTGGGTGAGAGAGAAAAAACAAACAAAAAATCAATAAACCTGTGATTGTTTTCATTCAGAACAATATTTCAAAACAATTGAGCCATTGCATCTCTTGTAAAGCAACAACAGCCATACCATTCTAGCATCTCATGCACCACATTGATAAAGAAAATTAATAGCCCTTTTTAAGCCGAAGTAAAAACATTTACTTCAGACATACTCATCTTTAAGCCAGAAAATAAGTATTTTTAAAAGATGAATTAGGTTCTAACAAGATGACACTATTGTGCTAATAGAAGGGGATAATTAAATCCGATTTAAAACTGTTTAATTTTAGAGTACTTGACAAGCTGAATAAGAAAAACATCGCATGATTTGTTTACTTGACATACAATTTTTAACAGCGAACACATTAAACTAATATCTGTCGCATTTTCCTCCCCAAGACTCTGCATCATGCCATTCCTCTCCATGGGCTTAGGATACACGTGACCCAACTTTTAACCGTTACAGGGACAGTCAGAAAGAATTCCAAACACACGCAGCAACATTGGCAAGGCTAGAGTTTTGGATGCTGGTACCTTTCGCGGCTAGGGAAATCCATGCCGAGCACAATGCTCTCCTCCGTGTCCTGTCTTCCGTTGGTATAAACCACCACCATGTAGCGCGTCCGTTGGGGATAGCCACTCTCCAGCCGCACTGCCTACAATGACAATGGGGTAGGCAAAGAGTGAGAACAACCTATGCAACCACAGTATGGGGAAATGTAGGGAAAGTGCTGTAACAGGAGCCCACTGCAATGGACACATTAACTGACAAAGTGACAGGGTTTTCTGGAAGGGCATTAATTCATGTTACCCACATAACATGGGCTTTATCTTGACATTGCTGCGGTAGACTCACCATGCTACCCAGTCTCCAGTGTGTCTTCACCAGTTAAGCATCTACACTTGGCATCATCGGCCAACCTTGTGTGCCTTTACTTTCAAACGTGTTGAATGCATGGGTGCACTGATTCACGCCGACGCCAAAAAAAAATTGTTATGATCACTTCAGCAAAAGGGGCGTAACAAAACAAACTTATCTGCAAGCTACGTCTCAAGTGATGGATGTCATTTCTTCCTCTATTTTGTTTCATGAAAAAATAAACAAGTCAAATACCTCGCCATGTTGTGCTTTTTTTTCTTCCTGTAACTAGCATGATTTCAAAACACACAGTGCTGTACGAGTGAAATATAACCTGGGTGATGTAGCTCATCGATGCTGGTGTTGAGATTTTGTTGAAAGATGTCTCCCCCCACCACAAAGCAGAATGCATTGCATCATACGGAGTGTGTGGTGATAAGGGATCCACAGGCTCCGGGCAGCAGCGTCACTAAGAATCTCTGTCTACGTGAGAATGCCAATGTACATTGCCCGAGTGCTTAACGCACAGCAACGTGTATGCTGGCGCTTATGCACCAAACCATTTATAAGCACTCTGACCAAGCACTAAGTACCGATTCATTTTCTATAATATAATTAGCTATCAATGTCTTCCGTGCTGACTGAATGTGCTATGCTTTGAACAATATCTACGTTCCAGATAGGGCAGTATTTATTCAAATCTGTGACTGTACGAGTGGCAATATAGTAGTTGGAATATATTTCAGCCGAGAGCCTCCTGAATAATAGTCTGGAGACTCACGAGGCTTTCCTGGGTAGACCAAGTATACTAATAATAATAATAAAAGCTCCTGTATATATAAAAAATAGAACTTCCAAAACTGAATTACTCATCATAGCAAAGGTTTACGATATTTCAAAACATGAAATGTGTGCGTTGTGCAATAAGTTAATCTGCCTTTGTAAAGAAAAAATGAGTCATCGTGTAAAGGTTAACCATAATAATCGTACACTGGTGTGGATTGGTAGGACAGTGGCATACAAACTGTGCTATGAGCCCAAAAACCTAAGTTTAATTCCTGGCCATAGCTAACATCAGTGGTGATGAGATATATGAACCGGCCTATAACCCTGCCCCCCCACACACCTCCACAACTATCTACTTTATCAACCGGCACTGAACCAGCGAGAGGTATGGTAAAAAAAACCCATGACTGGCTTGTTGTGGGCAGGCTTTTATACCGTACTAAGGACGTGTCCATGCGTGCGTCTTTACAAGGGGGTACAGGGAAATAAATTGGGCATATTATTATGTTACCTTCAAAACCAAGGCCTACTATGGCTCAAAATTAGAGGAACACACTGCAAAACTTTTAATAATTATTGGATGTGTTTTCTTATTTAAAGTAGAAAGGTTAGACAACCTGATGATAATTGACAAAAGGTAAACTTTGTCAATACAGTATTTATCATGCCTACAAGCATTAATAAAAGTGAGAATGCCACATTGTTATTCCCATATCCTGAGTGACTGATGTCACTTGAATGTGTGAAAAGCGTTTAATTAAAAATACATCAATAATAAACAGGAAAAACAATATGAGAGAAACACAATCCAGAAAACATATGTTCACAACAGCGGTGTAGCATTTCACACTGTAGTAAGTGAGATAGTACATGCAGAACTGCATATTTAAAAAAAAAACAATAATACCCCGGTTTACGTGGTGGACGCTTTCCTGAACGATGCAGCGACGTATACCGAAACGACATAAATCAGAGTAATTTATAGGGTAGGAGGAGGCGACTGATACGAGAAAGGATGGATGGATGCTGTCAGCAACATAAGTGGTTTGCGGCGACGCAAATCGGGAAGGAGTATTAATAAAGTGACAACGTACTGTATTTGCGAAACGGCGTAAAATGGGGAGACGTAAATCGGGGTGTTACTGTACCGATTACATTCAGGTTAAAGCCGATGTGATCTGTGTTCTTACAAGTTTGATGTTATCCTCTGCCCGAAGGATGTTGAGCATGGCCTGCAGATGTTGCTGCAAATCACCTGAAAGAGAAAAGCAGGTTGAAAAGCCATTGACAACAAAACGTTTTTTTGTCTGGTCATCTTTGCTACACTGAGTAGGGCAGTGAAAACGGTGCACACTTAGATGACTAAACATAGAAACAAAACTGGGTATCTACAATCTAATAATCCTTTAACATGCTTCAGTTTCATTTATTAGGTATAACCATGTGAGCCATGCGGCTCTTGACTCGGGTGCAACCGCAACAAACACAAACATGAACAAGAAACATCTTAAAGTGACTACGCGCAACAGAAAAATCCAGGAAAAATCTGCAAAGTCTTCAGGAAAAAACACCGTATTTCAACGCAGTGTGCAAAAAATCCTAGTGGGATGCAAGTCAAACAATAACAACCATAATACAATTTAGATTTAAGTTATCAGGCTATGTACTTCAACAAACAAACATGGCTAAACCAAAACGTTTTCAAAATCACCAAAATAAAGCTATAAAAACAATGTAACAGTGATCATAGGAACTGCGATGCTAACACAAGCACCACGATTCGCCACTAAGTGTCGGTGACGTGACCATGGAGCTTTTGCCAGGCTAAGGTGCACATAATAAAACACATATATACACACAAACACACCTTACTAAGACCATATTTGTCATTTAAAAAATAATTCCTGACACGTGCTAAATCTGACGACTTGAAAATAATCAAACGTATTGAGAAAACGAATAACATTCTTTTAGTGAAAAACATCACCCATGAATTTTTAAACAAACAAAAAATGCAATAAGATAAAACAAACGTTCCAGAGCCTTACTTGAGATTTTTCGCCTTTTGGGAGTCCATTCCTGGGCAATCCACTCATGTGACTTTGCCACTAACATGCATACCTCCCCCATACATTCGCTGTACAAGACCATTGTTTACAGTAAACTATTCCAAGCAGCAGGAAAACTTGCTAAACATCGGTCGAACGAGTATAAATCGTCACTAAACTGAGGTTTTTTTCCCTTCATCATATCCAAAAAAATGCTGAAGACATTTTTTTTTAATTTTAACTGCAGCGACAACCTCGCCACCACCAGCACTCAATGCAAGCACCCCGATTAATAGCAAGCAATTTCTGCTGTCTGCGTGTGAATAAACGTAACGCTTGTCCAGAGTACTAAAATAATCACAATTAACAAACTACTCTTATAATCCACCGATTCAGCACGTGGCTTAAAGTATCATCTAATAGACCTACGAAGAGCTCTAACACAACGGGCATTCTCTTCACTACCACCCCCGCCTTCCTGTCCATCTCTTTTATACGAGCTCGGCAACACGTGATGTCACGATTCCATGAATGGGAGGAGTTGAACGCAAGTGCCGTTTCAGCCAGTAACAAAACACAAACAAACCAAGCTGCTGACCACCCCCCCCCCATACCCAGGCAGCCCACTCCGCAAGCCACCCCCCATGACCCTCTGCGCATCACGTGAAGACAGAGACGGCAACTATGAAGCACTCCCCTGTTTTGATGAAGGCTGGTGCCAGTCACACAACAACGATCTCCCCGTAAAGCCTGCAACAGACTGGTTGGGGCGAGTGCTGTGAGCGAGCTCCTACGAAGGCCGGCACGGCGCACCAAGGGGTGGTCAACGCCACGCCCGGCCGCCTTTGTCTCCCCAGTAGCGATGCTTACACACCACACCGTGTAATAATTTTGAGGCCAAGTCGGCCCAGAGGAAGCCAAGGGACCGTTCAGATAACCCTCATTGGTGTCGACCGTGAGTGGGACTCAAACCCAGGTTCGTAGCCACGCGCCCTCTAACCACTACGCCACCGCTCCCCACTCACACAAACTCACACAGAGCTCTCCGCTAATCAACTACGGAGGTGATACTATATGATCGGTAAGGTGTAATAAATGTAAAAAAACAAATTTGGATTTGGTCTAAAATGACAAATACCTATGCATATCGAACAATAACGTATTGTCATAACCGTTACACGTAGATCACTTCAGATGACCTCTGCAATGTTCGAGCACTCAAAGCAAGCCTCTCCTACGCCCCAGTGTATAGCGAACTGACCACATTGATTTTCAAAAAGAAAAACACTTTTTTGTAACACAGAGGAATGCCAACTTGGGAATTCAGAATCAGCTCCTCAATTAAGTTGGTTAATCAACTCCTAACACCCTCATGTAAATCTGGGTAATCTTGGGGACATCACATTCTGGCTAAAAGGCCTGTCTGAGCATTCTGGCAAACACGGAGACACAATGGCCATTGGAAATGGATTAATTGGCTGAAGGGTGGAAAAGTAGCTCATGAATTAGCGCACTGCACTACAAGCCCGACCACGGAAGTTCAATTCCCCTGCAACGGCTAAGAGCAGTGGCGTGGGGATATCTGAACTGGCCTGGGTGCCTCCTCCACCAACTTGCACAGATGAAATGTGAAGTAGGATCAGAAACAACCCTAATACATGGGGGGGGGAGGGCGCTTCCATATAGCCACTATGTTGGCAAAGGACTCAACATATCTGAGAGATACGTTAATCAGGAATTAATGATTAAGTTGTTACAGCTTGACGCGACAACGTGAGGGGTGATGAAGGGAGTGGGGGGGGGGGTTATGCGTTTGTATGTAGAACTTATTCGCACTGTATGTAGCCAAACTTGATTTGAAGCTTTCGTGACTGCAGGAATTACTCTTTGGTTCTTTCGGTAAAGTAACGTAGCAAGAAAAATAATTAAATAATAGAATACGACGTTTCGATTGCAACACAAGCAACCGTCATTAGGTGTGTCTCTGTGTTGTCTCTCTCTGCTTGTGTGTGTCTGTGTGTCTCCGTGTGTGTGTTTTGTCCCTCTCTCAAATTTAGTTCCACCCGATTGCTTGTGTTGCAATCAAAACGTCGTATTCTATTATTTAATTTATTTTCTTTGTATGTAGCCAACCGTGCTAATCGAAGGTGCGGGGGCAAAGGACAACAAACTAAACACAAAAAGCAGTTCTAAAAAACGAGTGTGCAATCTAGAATTAAAAGCGGATAGCTCCGGTGGCTTCCTAATATTTAAAGGAAGAGCGTTCCAGACGGCCGCAGAGGCGCATCTGAAAGCCCGCGTTACCGTGATCGTCATCTGTTCTCGAGCAACTGTGAGCAGATGTTTAAGCTTTGAGAGTCGGAGAGAGGAGGAGTAGTCTTGGGTGAGACCATATGCGGCGGCGTCTGCTGTGAAGATGCTGCAGAGTGGTGTGACAAAACTGTGACCACACCTGGGTGGATGGAGGCTGTGATGGAAATCGTGGCAAGAGTTCTCAGTACAAAGTTGCACGCGACTGTTGTTATAAAATATACATTTAAAGTTGAGGTAATTGCATAAACATCGTCTTGCAGGGTTTGCTAAGGCTTGAAACACTGAAAGTTTATCGAGACTAGGGTGGTTAAACACACCCTGCATGCGTGTGTATAGACGTGGCGTACAGTGCAGGTAAAATAATCCAGTTTTTGAGAAACATTCGTGGTTTGGATTCAATTGTTTCCACAGCAGATGTGTCTCGACGTCCCGTCGCCCTCACCCGTCACAACTCGCCCCCACCCCCCCCCATTTCCTCTTCCTCAATACGTCTTCTTTCCAAAACACCACATTTCTGCAAAGATGCCAGCGTTCAAAATACTCCACGCGATGTTAACTACACTTCCCCGCACTCAACAAAGTCTGTTATTCAGTCTCTAGCTTGAACTTTTAAAACAAGACACTTATCGGAGCCATCTAGAAATGTTAAGTGTAGGTACGGGGTACGTAAAGGTGCAGCACCTCATTCCAATGCTGCCAAAATGCTGGTGGCTTATACTCTTGTGATGAGTCCAAATTAGAACTAAACCAGTCCATAGTTGCCTTTGCCTGCAGCGCGGCTTGCTGTCAGCCGGTCACATTTTCTTTAATGATATTCTGATGGCGATTTCAGACCAGGGGACCACAATGCACTTCTACGGGAAATGCTGATGGGGTGTTTATGCATATGCACACATTGCCGTGTGCTTTCTGCACGCTGCCGTCTTATTTGAAATGTATGCTTTTCCAGCCTGCAATAATTATTCTGTCCTGATGGGGGTCTTTCTCGTCATTTACATATTTGATCAACGCGTAAGCGCAGCGAGGTAGATAAAAGCTGGTCTTTAACAACACAACGCGAGGCACAGATGGTACGAGCAAATACTGCAGATAGCCAACAGAGTAATATAAATACAATCCGTCAATGTTGTGTTTCAACTTCAGTACAGCGCAAGAGAACACATTTCCAAACACCATTATTTTAACATTACGCCCCAGTGAACAGATCCCGTGCAAGGATGAAGCCAATGAGCATTCTTTGTTCCCCTTGCAAAGAAAAGAGTCACTTCAAATTAATCCCGAGCACATTTAATCACGGGTGAAAAATAAATAATTGTGGGTGGAAAAGGGGCGGATTTCACGCAACAATAAGCAACGAAAGTACTTCAGGGCTACTTGCATAAAAAAAAGAACAGTACACAGCCACCAAACCTTTAAAAAAAAACACGCAGCAATTAAATTATTGCATTTAACATTACACGACTGATAACTGTTTTTTTGTACGACCTAACCAAAAATAATCCCAATTATGAATCGTGAAATTGGTCATGAAAGCCTAAATATAAAATTAACAGTACATATTACTTAATCTATTCACCAAGTTAATTTCATACAAACGTTTATTATTTTATAATGAGGTAAGTGGCGGGCAGCCGAAACTTTTCAGCACCTTTCACGTTTGAGATTATTCAAATTATATTTAAAGACAGACAACATTTATTAAAACGCGTGCCCAATTATGCAAGAATCCACGGAAGTTCGTGTACTCTTCATTAAGGATATTAAACATTGTAAGGTTAAGATCGTTTTTGATTCGATAGCAGAATAAATACTTATTCAAGAACATTGATACATGCGCGCGTTGTACCGTATGTACATACCATACCAACCTTCAAAATCATGGTTTAATAATTTAAAGAAAATTACATACTTTGTCATGAAAATTTAAACTGGACCAAACTTTCAAGTTACACATTTTAAATGAAAAATGTTTATAAAAAAATATTGTTTACATGAATATTTGTTCTAGATAAGCATGTAAATTCATGACAAATAACAATAATAAGCATTTGTCCCATTAAATTATTTTAAAAAATGTTTTATATAATAATACTTGTTACGTTACCAACTCTGTGTGTTAACAGATTAAATATCATTTTTAAAAGTTAACCAACATTTTAGTGAAATTATTAGATCCTATAACGTGTAAAAGGAGGTATTAAACATGGTAGCAATGAATACACATGTAACCCAATCCCTATAACACCTTGAACATAAGGCATTTTAACCACACACCACGTTCTGCGCTACCCACATTTTTACTCCTAACAACGACAGACACGTTTTAAACTTCATACAACGCCTTTTAAAACACTATTTCAACGCTACTAACTTCCAATATTAATTTTGTAAGTATGCTCAATATGCGGGCAACTGCATGTTAATAAATAACTTTACAATTACAAACTGACAAAAAAGGGCAACACTAGAGATACTTAACAAACAAAGTTGGGTAGTATGTTCAGCGGAAGCAGATTTTTGTTTTCCCTCTCAACTCTAAACCCGTGTGACTTGCGGCACACGTGGCCCGATCAGGGAATTGTCAGTGATCAGCCGGGGGTTGTTTACAAGCAAGGCTGGCGCAAAAAAAAAAAAATCAGTCCTGAAGAGCTCAAGTACCACAGTGAAATACCCGCACAGACCCCAGCCTGCCAAGCAAAGGCACTCTGCGTTATTTCTCATCTATTGCTTATGCAAGTATTAGAGGCAACCTTTTGTGGCCTGGACATGAGCTTCAATGCGTATAAAGGATCATTATTAAAGTGTAGAGGGTTCTTACGATTTAGCAGGTTACACAGGCCAGATGTGATCTTTTCTCCGCTTGTTCATTAATGAAAGGAAAGGGAACAAAAAAGAACCTGTTGTGTCAAGTGTGTCCCAGAGTTGAATGTTCGACTGCTATTATACAAAACACAAACGCACAGGAGGTATGAAAATGGTGCTGGAGTCAGCTCTTTTACAACTCACCCACCCCCCCCCCCCTTTAAGTTAGCTTCTTCATAATCACAGCATGTACAATTATACTGAGGATTATTTTCGTGCACTAAGACAAAGAGTATGGAAAACATTCCAACATGCTGTACTTCGAAAAGTTTTTCAGTCGGGCTCTTGACAACAATAAGATTACACTTTCACAAGTTGCCATCAGCCTTCTTGTGTCCACCGCTGGATGAAAGCCTTTCCAACGTTGCCGTAATGGTAGAATCCATATCGCAAGTGACACAAGCTGATCTCATTGCACTATGTCCGTGGTGACCATCCTGTTTGGGCATGCTCACTCCTTAAAACTGCCATTCTGTCATCAGTCTTGTGCATCTGCTATCATGCCTTTAAGCAATGTCCGGCTCAAGCCCACTTCACGCTTCTAAAGTCAAGGTGTTCCTACTTTGTGATTTGTCCTCTGAGCCACGTGTCAACTCTTTCTGCCTCTCATTGCAACACCCAGCGTGCATCTCTCCAAGATTGTTTGAGTATGTTTCAGCTTTTGTTCCATGTTCTTTGTCAGATTACACGGTTTCAATCCACACATTATGGCACGTAATGTCAACTGACCGAAAACGTTCTTCTTTAAGGACATTTGGTACGCCGCTTTTTATTGTCGAATATTTATTCTTTTAAAAAGTGCTCCAACGTCTTCTCGCTCGACTCTTGATTTCACCATTTTAACTTGTCAACTTACAGTAATTGCCCTAGATATACGTGCTCTGATGTGGTTTCCTTTCAACAATTATGTTCTCTTCCACAGCCAACTAACTGTACGTGACTTTAAGTTTCGCTCCTCAATCTTTATCCGCAATTATTTGCATTCTTTGCCAAGTGTTTTGTGCCTCAAATGTACACGTAGTTCGTCAACATTGGTTGTGATTATGTTGTGAGCAAAATCTGAGATGGCTAATACGTCCACCCTTTCCGCGTATTATTTTCACGGGGTGTACTTACAAAATAATAAACGTGCCTCGATTTTATCTTAAAATTAGTTTTATACGTTTGGATTATTTAAAATGGGGGCGGGGGGGGAACAGACTGATTGAGATTATTAATTCTGTACAGCATCGGTTAAAGTTGGTCGACTGTAGTTTTTTTTTTGTCTCCATTACCTGCATGTTTGCTTCGCCGGTGACTTGCTCGTGGTGATGTAGTTCCATTTCCACGCGGTAGAAAGAGTGCTGCTCCTTTCACCGTAAAGAAGCTCTCGCTCAGGCTGAAATTCACAAAAGCACAAACATGCACGTGTAAGGATTTACGCAACGAGTTCTTTGCAAGGAGGAGTTAATGCACTCTAGGATGGGGAACTCGGAGAGACGTTGCGGCCAATCTTAGGGGGCAAGTTGGGTTACGAGAGCATCGTTCAATATCCTTCTCGTGAAAAAGTGTTGTGGAATTTTTGACGTAGTCAACTTGTGTAGGGATACAACTTACTCCACATGTAAAAGAAACTAAAATATACAATAATGACACTTACCGATTTAAATGTATATTCCACAATTTAAATCAGTGAGAATTTGAAATGGGTACAATTATTTAAGATCGATAAAAAAAATGTGATGATCGTTTAATAAAAAAACGACAAAGATTGAACGTGGTTTCAAGGGCATCCGTACAAGTAAAGTAGCCCGACTTTGTATGATAAAGTTGTAGCAAATTTTAAAATGGAGTAAAAAATTTTTAGATCATGTGAATTAATGTGCAGACACAAATGTTTACATCATGTTCATGTGCCCACTAGTATTGCAGGAGCTGGCTATAAAGAGATGGAAGGATCAAAAAGGTTAACTCTTACACCTCTTAAAAGATTAAGTTCAAAGTGAAGTCTACAGGGAAAGCACCATCAAAAGGGTGTTTACCTAATCACTGCGGGGTTATCTCAAAGCTCCAAGCAAAAAAAACCCCTAGTGAGGCCACAACCACCTCCGCCTGGCCACTTGTCAAATATCGAGCTTTAACCAGCGATGATATATCTTTGCAAATGACACGCACACATCCTGTAGTATGTTGAGACTAAAGTATTCAAAACAACTAATATCTTACATCTTACTAGGTTAGCTATTATACAAGTACCATGCAACACTGGAAGAGGTTTTCATATTGTACAGTTCACGATAGCTTAACAGGCCAAAGCATTTATTGCTTTGAGTCTTTGAGAAGCACATATATCACGAGAGTTGGTTTATATTCACAATGCACGTCATCAGCAATGGCAAGACAATTGTAAGCTATGTTCATAGTTATCTAATCGTAACATTAAAAAAACATCCTTTCTAGTGATTCTACTGTCACAATTCCGTGGCAAGCTTAAACGCAAGAAATAAATATTAAGAATTATTACCTTTAGCATTGCAGCAAACAATAAACGTAGCCCCTTTTGTGGCTGCAGGGGTCATATGAATACAGAATGTATGCGAATCGGAAAAAATCGATAATTACAAGCACAGTTCAATACCTTCATCCTAAGCATTGGAATATATTTGAATCGATGAATTGATGTATCACTACAGCCATAGTGCCTAATGAACCACACAGCACCAAAACATGCTTCCTTTAGAACTGTGCAATCATAATAAACATTTCACATCGAAGGTATCGCAAAGCAAATGTTGAAGCGAGTTACCAGACAACTCCTAAACAGGGACACACAGTCCTTCATAGGGTACAACTCAACTCCCCAGTGATTGAGTAATCTTTTTTCCAAAGCAATGGAAACAAATACCAGTATGCAGTACATCCAGCACAAGTTCCAGCATTTATGCCACTCATACGGACACTTATATAATGCCAAAAGCATGGCGTTAAAAGACCAATACACTATTAGCACAAGTAAATTCATACCAAACAAGTTAAAGCGATGCCCCCACTTAAGCCTGTGTGAGATCGTAACCATTTCTTGTTTAAAGTCCAAAGCCAGCGGTGGAAATTCCACATTCCTATGGTGGTATCGAAAAAAAGAAAGTCAGTCCCTTGTCTATCAACTGATGAATGAAGTCCTTCCCATGCCAGTCAGGGGTTGTAAGACCATACTTCACCACGCTGGTCATTGCGGGTTGGTGAAGGCGGAGGGGAGAGGGGGGGAGCCCAGGCCAGTTCGGCCACCACTCACCACTGACGATGACCGTATCCGGAAATCAATCTCTGGTCACCGAGCTTGGGGACCTTAGTGCTCTAGGCCCACTGCACCATCGCTAATGGTGGCGAGTATATCTCAGGGGCCGGCAACCAAAACAGCAAGAGATATTTGTTTTTCGAATTCAGTAAAAAAAAAACACCTCTAAATATCAAGAGCCGCAACAATTCATGTGAACTACAAGACGGCCCTTAATAAATGACGTCATGAATCGGTCCTTAAAGAGCCACATGCGGATCCGGAGCTGCAGGTTCCCGACCCCTGATGTATCCATAATAAATACATCGCAAAAGCACTCTTCACTTTCAACATTGGTACTTATTTAATAGATCCTGAGGGGTAAGAGAACTCAATTGAAACCCACCAACAAAGTGAACCTGTGACCTCCTAATTACAAGCTGTACACTCTGATAAACAAACATCACAGAGCCACATACAACCCCTATAGATTGCAAGTACTATTTACCTGAATACCTTTCATCAACGAAAAGGCAATCAATTGTTTTCTCTCATAACAACTTATAATCAGGTTGCTCCGCGAAAATTAAGAAGTCAATTCAACGGCTAAGCAAATAAATGAAATTGCTGAGTCAACGCTGGAAAAAAAAAACTTCACGGAACCACTAATTTTTCAGCACTGTCACTTTAATAAAGCCCTTCAAAGACACAGGCGTCGCTCGGGAGCAAAGTATACAACACTGTGCTGAACCATAGTTGAGAATGACAGGCGATATGTATCTCTACACAGGTCAGACACAGACACTTATAAACATTCATTATGCCAATCTTTACTGGGAACCCGCCGCAGCAGTGAGTGACCCACAAGCAGACTATATATATGCACCATCTAAAACTGGCCTAGCAACACACTAATAATAGAAGTCCCTGGTCCTTTTTGGCAACACAAAATTGCAGAATGTTAATTCGGACTTGATTTCTCTTTTAATCCATCTGTGGGATTGATTTTGTTTTTGTCCCCAATCATGCTAAGAGATCATGCTAAGAGACATTCCATCGAGAACTCTCAAAGAGCAGTGTATTACCCTGTGTTAGACAACGGCCTGCAGAAGTTGATATCACAGTGTTCTTGGGGACCACGATGAGAACATCAACTCATTGGATTTGAGCACCCACTTTAATGGACATCTTGCCTCGACATCCAGCAGTGGCAGCTCAGCACTGTCCTCTTAGCCATGCGGACACCTCAACTGTTGGATATTCCATTCATCGTGAGTATAAAAAGTGACAATTTTGTAATGCCTTAGAATTTAACGTGAAATGTACCATTTTGATTATCTGAAGTGACCGAATTGAGTATAATTAGGTTAATCAGTTGGGCTTGGGAAATGAATGACGAAAGGGATAATAGTATCATCTGAAATATCAGGAAATGCAACAACTGTGTCACATTAAATGAGCCACAATACCTTGCTGATCTCGTCAAGAAGCTAAACCATCACTCGGATTCCGGTCATCCTCACAGTGGCTTTTGGCTAGCCATCAAACAGACAGTCACTGCATCGCGCGCTTTCAGATGTGCTTCTGTGGCCATCTGGAAATGCTGGCGCTTTGCACTTTTAAATTCAGATTGAAAACTCATTTCATTATAACTGCTTTGTTTAAATCTTGACTTAAAGCTTGCTTTGTTTAATTATTACAAGTCCAATTTAGCCAAAGTTCATGTTGATTCGCACGGTTGTCTACGTACGGTGTGAAAGAAGTTCAACATATATACATACACTGCATAATGTGTAAAATGATGCTGCATGATATCGTACTATGGCAAAGCACAAAGTCCCATGCCACAATATTCTAACAACATTGCTTGAAACATTTATGCAATTACAGCAGCTGAGAATTTTGTAATTAAATCAAGACACCTCATCATTGACAAGTAACCCAAAACCAATATCACAGAGCTGAATGTTAAAGTGCATGTGTGAGCCTGAAGCAAAACATGAACCAAAAGTCAGCAGAAAAGTTCATGCAATGACCAGCTCACCTAAGTGTTTTTAAGCGTCACAAGAGACAGTGGTTTTGCACTCGAACGATCATGGGGACACTGACCTTCTGTATCCAGCGTTAAGCCAGTTGTGGAAAGTCTACATTCCTATGGTGGCGGCGAGTATATCTTACAAGACAACATCTGTGTAAGCGGTGCCAAGGTGATGAGATGTTAACGCCCGTGCTAGGTATACAGGAGGTCGTGGGTTCGATTCCGACCCTGACGCTTGTATATTCGGAGTTAGCATGTCTCTCTCCCCGTGGTAGCGTGGATTTTTCTCCAGGTCCTCCGGTTTTTCCTTCCGCATTGAGAACCATGCGTTTAGAGTATTTGGCTGCTATAAATTTCCACATAGGTCACTTCGTTGAGCTATGATTTGTGGCCAGGTCGCTTCAGAAAAAGAGCTATATAGCTCAGTGAGCCTTACCTGGTTAAATAAAAAAATTGTTTAGTTTAGGGAATGTTATTCAATCGCAACTGTTAACTATCTTAAGTTCTAGGATTACTAAAACTAGATTCACCGTAAAGAACTGGTCAGTATTCGTAGTCTTACATTTTTTGAAGAGCTACAAGTTTATATACAGCAGTTGTCCTTGGGCATGAGTCAATATGGTCTTGTTTACAGTCGCCTCCTTGTCTCGGAAACAATGGCATGCTAGTTTGTGTCCTTATGACTGCCACCATTGAAAGTGAGCTGCATTGCTCAGCAACAGCAGAGACGCCTTAAAAAAGAGTTGAGTGTGCTCAATTGTGTATTTAAAAGATGTAATAGCATTCGTTACATGACTTAGCCAATGTCTGAAAATATCACGGACAAGTTTTCCAATAAAATGTCCTAGTGGTGTCCACATATTTAAAATCCTTCCCCTGCAACGAATGGGCCTTTGCATTTTACGTCTCGGCTCCATCAAAGTCGAATGATACAGAATTACACAAAAAAGATCCCCCGCATAGCCTTAACAGACTGTAGGGGCAAGTGCTGTTAGCGAGCACCTATGAAGGCCAGCACAGCACACGAGGGGGTGGGTGGCCAACACCACGCCCGGCCGCCTTTGTCTCCCCAGTGGCAATGTTTACATATCGCACCAGGTACTCATTTGAGGCTGAGTCGACCTAGGGGAGGCCCAGGACCGGTTCAGATAATCGTCACTGGGTGTTGGCCGTGAGCGGGAATCGAACCCGGGTCGCCAGGTTCGTAGCGCAGCGTGCTAACCACTACACTATCGCTCCTCAAAGTGTCAGTGTCACACACATGTACAGTGTCACACACATGCACAGTGTCACACACATGCACAGTGTCACACACATGCACAGTGTCACACACATGCACAGTGTCACACACATGTACAGTGTCACACACATGCACAGTGTCACACACATGCACAGTGTCACACACATGCACAGTGTCACACACATGTACAGTGTCACACACATGCACAGTGTCACACACATGCACAGTGTCACACACATGCACAGTGTCACACACATGTACAGTGTCACACACATGTACAGTGTCACACACATGCACAGTGTCACACACATGTACAGTGTCACACACATGCACAGTGTCACACACATGCACAGTGTCACACACATGCACAGTGTCACACACATGTACAGTGTCACACACATGCACAGTGTCACACACATGCACAGTGTCACACACATGCACAGTGTCACACACATGTACAGTGTCACACACATGCACAGTGTCACACACATGCACAGTGTCACACACATGTACATATACACAATTTACAGTACTAAGTAAATTACTGTACTTGACCAGCAAATGAATTTGACTAATCAGCCAGGTATGAATAGGTAGGCACAAAGGAACGCATAACACAGTGGGGAGTTCGTTTCCACTCTTTATAAGGGAAGGCTCACCCAGCCGACAGTGCCAACATACACCCTCCTTGCCTGCCTAAATATAGGGAAGGTATGATCCGTGTGGCATAGCTGGAAGGTTTACCCTTCCAACGATATCGCATAAGCTCAGCAGTAGGCATGTTAATTGAACAGTAATAACTGTACTTTATAGTAGTCATGAAGTTGACTCTCGTACCTGTACATGTAAAGAGCATTTCTGTAAATCCACCGCTGGATGAGAGGCCTCCCCACACCATGCCAACCATGGTGTGGGGGTTATTTGACCATACTCCTTCACGCTGGTCCGTGTGGTTTGGTGAAAGTGCGGTGGAGTGCAGAAGCGTGGATTTCGCAGCAATGCCATCCACCACCCACAATGCCTCCTACGATTACTACGCCTGTCTTTAAGGCATGATAGTCACCCATCCAGGCGATGTGCAGCCTCCATCCACCCTGCTTATAATCCCAGCTCTGACGGGATCGGTTACATTCTGGGTGATCTGTACTTTAAATGAACAAAAGAAAAATACAATTCAGTAAATGCTTTCACCGGTCTGTCAGAAAGGGAAAACTAGATGGAACTCACCGAACACACAATTGAGAAGTGAAAACATAACATCATAGGAATGTTTTCAAATTGGAACGGTAGTTGTATACAGGTCTACAGGAAAGCAGGCACATTCAATAGACTTTTCAAAAGAGGTCCAACCAGCTACTAATCCTGTACAGCTGGTTTTTAGACGACAGTAAAAACGATCCATGCTTTTAAAATCCATCGTCAGCTCTGAAATACTGTATCGGTGGAACTCATAAAAAAGCAAAAACGGGGAGGGAGAAAGAAAAATGTATGACAATACTTCACTAAAAATCTAATCTTATTTGGGGAAATTGGATTTTCACGTTTCCTTCACTAGATAAACGGTGGCAACTGTTTCAGGTGAAATAAGGTAAAAAAAAATACGACACACACTATATTTCAGAAAAATAAATTAAGCAGGTGACTCACCCTGGATGATTCCTGCAGAAATCACAATCATTCTGTGGGATATCCCAAGTTAAAACCTCCATTCATTGTAATGAGATTCTTACCGGGATTTCTTCCAATGAAGACCCATTGAATATGTCATTCTAGCATGATTCCATTACAAATATTACCTATCTATATATTCAGCTATGATTAGGTTAGCTAGCAATGCATCACTGATTCCAGCTTGACAGAAAATATTACGGGTGATTGATTCCTGATGGCCAGAATCGACTGGTATCAGGATCGCTATCAGCTGGCCGGTATCGCAAATGAATCGTGATGCGTAAAGAATGAGCCATGATTCCAATGGAGACGCCATGACGCTAGCCGCAGGTGCCCTTGCTCTTTGCTTGTTTGCTGCACCGGGCTACACATAGGGTTCCACATCGCCCCCCACCACCACCACCACCACACTTCACCACATTTCCACAATTCTGCCAGGCCCATGATCCAATTCGGAATTAGTTCATCAAATAGTCAAATCATGATTCCTGGCTAGGAACGGTGGGAATGTCCCAACTCTTAGTCAGGACCTCGCCAATGTCGACCCGGTGAACGCTCTAATACTTTTGGAATGTTTCGTGACAATTGTTCCATCATGTATTAATCATCAGTTAAAATGTACAATTACACGACAGTGTCCTTATATTTCAGAAATGTATGTTTTATTCATTCAAAACGTTAAGCAGTGCAGCATCAGAGGTAGGTTATATGGAAACTGTATAACACAATGTTAACATGAGTATAATACATAGGATAATTGAAAACCCTTTCTTTCCAAGGCAATGATCAATACAATTGATGATCTATTTAATACAATACAGTACAAGGTTTTTAAAACAAATAAATTAGGCCTCCATTCTATCAATGCAGAATCATTGCAGATTTCCAATAAAGGCATTCAATTAATTGACCCTACTGGACTGCAGTTTTAAGCAGGTTCAGAAAAGTTTGCAGCTGTATCGCTCTCCACCATCGGTTCACACTGGTGGTGGAGACCACAATCCAAATTTCTATTAATATCTCACAAATAAGTCACAATAAAGTAACACGATTTACCACGGCTCTATTACAAAATACATCTCATTGGAAACTTGCCATGTGCAACGACTAATTTGCTTGAATGTATGCAATGGTTTCTCCCTGGAATATCATATATAACAACTCTGATTGAAAAAATCACGCAACAAAAATCGTGCTCTTGTTTGCTTTTAGGCCCAAAAGTCCAACAAGTCACTGGCTGATTTGAAGCAGGACAAATCATGCAGCAGCAATAATTTGTTCTAAAGTTGTTTTCTCTCTCTCTCTCTCTCTGTTTAATCCCAAAAGGGGCATTGTGCTAGCGATGTGGTTACGGCACAATAGAGTCAGCTATTGGGAATCCTGTTTTTTTTCAACTAAAGCTCTTTCCTGTCCAGACTGCAAAAAAGCCACTGTATGCTGATAAGATGTTCATCTCTTGGACGCGAACTACGCACAACACTCTTGTTGTTTGCGTTGCTTTCAGGCTCAGAACATTGAGAACTTTTGAGGCAAAAAAATAATTCAACGACCAATGCCTACTACATAAAATAAAAAATCGCACTGCATGTCATACATGCAGTTAACCGCAAGCCTCAGCATAAAAAGTTTTCTGTGGGCTCGCGTAAACAGGAACTACTGTGTCTTACATTTGAAGATTGGTGAACTTTTATCCGTGACTGCGTTTCAGTTTTAAAGGCAAGCTATGCCCACTTAAACGGTTCAAAATAAATAGTGAAAATGCAGACATGGATATAGCCGAAGTAAAGCGAAATGTTTCATGTACTCTTTACACATTTGCTCTGGTGAAACCTCATCATTATTATGATTAAACAGACTGCCCAGCCTTGAGATAACTATGTAAAGCAGGTCCCATAAAAGTCAAATGCTTACTTAAGAACCATTAACACTGCTCAGGTGAGTGAACATTCTATTGGAAAAAACAATGCCATACAAAGTCACGCAAGTCCATATTCCATCATTTGTTTGGACTATACAGCAGTGTACTTATGACATTACAACAACAACACATTACTAATCCTGGGTTTTTATTATGTAAGAATTTTTGGGGGGGGGGGGTGGGGGATAAAAAAAAAAATCTTTACTCCATGGGAGTACAGTCGTGAATTTTTTTGTTTTTATTTATTGTTGTTTTATACTTTTACGTGACTTTACCGAACAGAACCAAAGAGTATGTACCATAAAGGTTATGGGTGTGATTTTTGTGCACTCCGCTGCATGCACATTCAGGGCATAGTTCCTACCAACAGTCCCGAGAGGGTACGGCTGAGAAAACCCACTGCTGTGGAGGAGTCGTGCTTCCCAACACGCAAAGACTGCGTCATTACGTGTTCCCGTTGCGACCGCCCAATGCCCTCCTGCCACTCCTGGGACAAACAAAAAAAACCCCCACACATAATGACGGAAGCACTTGCTGTGCATCAGTTTTGCGCAATTCTGCCAGCAGTGGATGTCTACAGACTGCAGCTGCTGTGATCTTGCCCAATACGCATCGACAGGCAAGCACAGCGGGTCACAGTTCAGACCAAATCTCTCCCCTATCTGCATCATCGGAAGGCATTCTTTACAATGTTAAAAAGCACAAGAAAACGACGAATAATTGCTCGGCTAACTGCGTGCCAAACGTGAGCTACGTACGTGAAACGACCATTACAAGCGTACTAAATATTTAACGGTAGATAAAAAAAAAATTTTACCATCCCCGCTTTAAGCCAGAGTTGCTTTTAATGCTTTGCACGTCAACAATCGGCACACGACGTCAGTACTTACAGTTGGTTAACGTCACTCTGCACGATGATGGAGTTATCCAGGAAGTATGGCAGCATGCCCAACAAACTGTCGCAGGGCAACGATGGGCCTGACACTGAGACTGAGGAAGGCATGGTAGTCCCCTTGTCCCCGTCCTCTGCACAGAGGACCATAATGCGTGCAAGCAAACTCCGCTGTCTGCTGGCGAATGAAAGAGACCCTAAGCACACCGAGCCCTTCCGCTAGTCAAGCGGGCCTTCAGCATCCTCTTTTGTGGCCTGGCATACAAATGTGTTCCATCCGGACGCTTGACAGTAATTGAATTTCCTCCTCTTCGTCAATCTAAATCCACTTGAAACAAATTGTAATACAGCAAAACCAAACTGAATATACAGGCAGATTGATTTACTTTGGTTTGAAAAAATGCTCGTGTTGAGTAAAAAATTGAAGATCTGCTCTGATAAAAAACTAAACAACGTTGAAAAAAAACCAGCAAAGCAGACGTTTAAAAGCTAAAATTTTTTAATTATTTTCAAAAACTTGATTTGACGCTTTCGTGACTGCATGAATTACTCTTTGGTTCTTTCGGTAAAGTCACGTAGAAATAAATAAATATTTAATTATCTATTTTTTAATAAACCAATCAGCCTTTATTGACCTATATAAACTGATTCAAGACGTTGAAATAGTTCGAAACAGCATGCATACAGATTTGATATCATCAATAATTCTGAGAAACCTTCATTGTCACGAACACAGAACGCAGCTATATAACGTTTAAAGACTAGTTAAAACAAAATCTCAAAAGCAAACTTACAGTTGTATCAACCCTGGTACCATTGTATTACTGATTGAAGCATATGTACCGTGGCCCACTAGGAGTCCAGTGCTTGGGCCAGCCAGCAATGCAACTGGCTCACTCTGGACCTGCCTTCCTCAGTCGGCGGTGTCAAAGCAACTGAGCAGAGAGCTTCCTGCTCCACAGCCTCAAAATACCCAGTGAGCATGTGGTGGCATGCTCAAGGGGGTGGGGGGGGGGTCCCATTAGGGGGACTCTGGATGGTCCACCAAACTAAAAAATACACACTTCCAATGTTAACTTATTCCACATAATGGGAAACTACAATGTAATCTAGTTGGTACCGTGGCTCTTTAATGTGTTTTTCACCTCCCACACATAATATATCCTTTTTGCCAGAAAATGTATACTGTATATAAAGGTTAAATATTTGTATCTTAAATACTGTGCTGTATAGTATATAGAAATGTAACGATGTCAACTCGTTTCATGAAGATTCAAAATAGTTCTACAAAGTATATATTTTGTAATTCAAAAACACTAATAATTATTTGTGATATGACTCAAATGTGAACTTTTAAAACTTTCCAGAATACATAAATAACATAAGAATGCGATCTTGTTAAGAAGATAACTTTTCAGATCTAAAAAAATAAAAAATAACTTGACAAATGTTTCAGAGCTATAGCCTCATTTGCAAAATTATATGCGATTAGATATTAAAGTTAAACATCTGCAATAAAGCGATAGGCCACAGAAAAAGCTAAATTATTGATGAGGAACTGTTACCGAATTATCCGTGGCCAAAACCCTTCTTATCCACAACTAATACCTATGATAATTGCCAAGACTATGAATTTTGTGCAGCATTCAGAATTTAGAGATGCGGTGGTTATGTCACTGTACTACAAAACCAGAGTCGGTGAAGATATCCACATCTTTATCATCGTCTTAAGCCATCATCCATATCATCCATCGTTGTCTTCTTCAGCCTCATTTCTATTATAAGCAAGTGCTGCAGATAACAGAATGAATGTAATGCCTGTCCACGATGTATTCCTCTTATTTGTGATAATCGCTGGTTCAGTGGAAAAAGAGAATTATCATGGGTGTGACGATCTGATCCTGCAGACATAAAGAATTGTCGGTGAGACAGTCACAGATGAATCAATCAACATGTTTAAATAAAAGGTGAGATTCCATTGAGACGAACCGAAAGGAGTGGCACTGCATTTGAAGAAAATGTTATCTTCGTACATCACAAACTGGATTAAGTATTTGTCTTGAAAGCAGAAAAAAATAACCATTTGTTCAATTTGTGAGCAATGCATTCATTACTGGTTCCTAAAAGCAGCAGAAATTATTTAGTAAGACAATTGCACGTGGCTCGAGAATGTCTACATTGTGGAAGCTAAGGTTGATCCACCCAGATCTCATCAGAAGACTACGGCTTTAAATAAACCCCTTTGCTGTATTTTACAGAGTACAGTATTAGTAAACAAAAAACAAGCTAATACCAGCTTGAGAAATCGAATTCATTCCAGATTCCCTAATTCTGAAGCAATTCCTACCCCCAATAATTCTAAGCCTTGACAGCACAACTTGAATGCACATTTGCCCGCAGACGCTACATATATGGGACGTACAGGAGAACTTCCTAAACATAGTACAAGCTTCACTGCAGCTTAGGATGTACAGTACACTCGTCAATTCCACGTTAATGGTGGCCAGACGTGTATGGGCAAATTGTGCAGGTTTGGATACAGGAGAGGCAACAATGTTAAACTTAAATCAACATAAAAATGTTGTTTCCCGCAGACACCCATCGGTCTCAGTTAAAGGGTGAAAACCATTAATTATTTGGAGTGTATAAACGCATCGTTTCATATCAATTGTTAATCTTGGGATAAACGCAACAATGAACATTTTCCGTAAAGACCCGTGTGTTGTAGGGAATAGGTAGGTTAACGTCAGCCCTGTAGCCGGCGGAGGCACGGTCATTCACTACATTGTTTAAAAAAAAACACATCCGTCAAATCAATCGTACGTAATAGTGAAAAACAAAACAATCATCAAATCGCTGGGAGTTGGGGAGACCAAATCATTATACCTGTATTAATTTGGAGTAAAAGTCACTTAAATCAACCATCAAATATCAACAATCGAAGCTGCCACTGCATATAGAAACATTTGTTGACCATAGTAAGGTTTTTTATTCTTTGGTTCTTTCGGTAAAGTCACGTAGAATGAGAATAAAATAATAAGTTAATAAAATAAAATAACACAATAAAATTCTCACGACGTTTCGGCCACAACACAAGTGGCCTTCTTCAGGTGAAAGGAACAGACCTGTCGGGACGACAGAGATTCATTCTACGTGACTTTACCGAAAGAACCAAAGAAGATGAATCCTTGCAGTCACGAAAGCTTTAAATCGAAATTTACGTAGAGTTTTGCCAACCTGAGATATATCCCATTCACATGACAGGTAATTGCCCACGTAATGTCAATGATAATTAACAGTGGAAGATATTTTGACAAAATCTATTGGGGGGCTACTCCCAAACTGGGGCGCATCTGGAAATCCCACGGCGACTCATTTGCCTAAACGCAGGGTGTGGTGCAACAAGTCTTTCTGGGCCCATGCAAGGACAGGCTTTCATAAAGGAGTTAACCCACGTTACTAGCAATTTTATATAAGCTCACCCGAGCTCCAGCGAAGCACCAGCTGTGAGTGTCAATCAGTTAGGTGTTGCTTCCTCACCAAACAAGGCCACACGCTAAGCCACAAGCCAACGTCCTTAGTAGGTTAACTTAAGGACCATTATGTGCCTTGCTTATTAGGCGTGCGGCGGTGCAGCGATTCGTCTATTAAAAGCCATTCTTATGCTCAAGATGTAACGCAGGGAATAAGGCGCGTAAGAATGTTGTTTCACAACGTATGCTCTGCATATGCTAATAAGGGGGGAGTAGTGGCACAGTGATTAGAGCACTTCTCTATTGACCCCGTGACCAGAGCTTCAGTGCCACGTGATGGGCAGCAGAGCTCATTGCAGAAAAATTCGATTCTTGTACTGCACCTCTATGGCTCCCTGCCTTCACCAACCTGCACTGACCAGCATGGCGCAATACCATCATGAAGCAGCAAATTACCAAAAGCGTTGTATATGTACATAAGACCTAAACCTGATAACTCAGGAGTGAATTATGTTTGGCCATGGGAGCTTATGTTCACACATCTCACACATATCTTGTTTGTAATTAATCAACCACCGCTACACAAATTGTTAACATATATCTGTGCCTTGCACGGTTTAACTATCACTTTATTTAACAATTTAATGGTTGTACATTTGTAAGAGAAAAATTAAGTGCATTATATAGATGGCAAAAACTGTGCATTATATTTACTGTGCTGTCACATATTAACCTTGCTTTTTTGAATCAGAAGAGCATTTAAATTTAAAATAAAACCCATTAGCATGCTCATGGCAACCATGGCTATTGATTTCTTTAAATAGAAGCTTTTTACTTGAGAGGAGAAATACAAAGGATCGAAACACCATGTTTTTAATGACCACTCTATGCAAGAGCTGTGATAGCAGACTTATTTTTTAGTAAACAATGCAACAAAAAGGAAAAGACAATGTCGTGTAGAAAATTATATAAAGTATGATATTTTAATTGCGTATACTTATATGGGAAGAGTTGTGAGAACACAGGTACGTTGAACATACTGCTAAAGTATTCAAATCATACGAGTGTATATTCCAAACAAGTTTTGCTGGCTGCCTTTCCGCCTGGATTCGTGGCGCGCATGTGCACGTAAGTGGCGGTAGTGACATCACCGCACACATCTGAGCAATGTTAAGGTTAATGAGAAGAATAATAAAGAAGCAAGCATATTTCATACCACGTATTAAAAAACAAGTTTTTCTGGCTAGCAGCACATGGGAGGATACTGTTGAAGGTTAGGGGAGGCTGTGAGTAGAAGTTATCAAATACAGTTTAGATGTTGTACTTTATAACCACACAGCTGTATAAATGAAGGAACGTCACTGTGCATAGTCAAAGTGATTTTTTTTTTTTCAAATTAGCACTGGTATTCATCTCCTGTTTACAGCTCTGAGCCAATGGTGGAATTCCCACATTCCTCTGGTGGGGCCAAGTCTATCGATAGAATAACCATTATTGACTTCCCCGCAAAGCTGTTTTTATTTTATCGACCCTGGTGGGATGATGGGCTGAGTCAACCCCCCAATCAGGATCTGAATCCGATCAGCTCACTCTACCACGTAGCTGCTTGGCCAGGTGAAATATGCCCCAATTTAACCCATAATAAAGCATACATTATGTTTTTTACATGCACCGATTTAAAATACATGTCCCTAAAATAGATGCTTAAAACGTAAACAGTGGCTTTGTTTCCAGGAAAGAGAAGTTAACACGATGTGTGAAGCATGTCGTTTCTTCAGACGTTTGTTATAATCTGCCATCTAGTGGTGAAGTAGCGATACTGTAAAACAACAATGTACAATACAAAGAATCGATATGCTGCAAACACACCTACATTACAATGAGAACATGACCAAAAGAGTATTATCATTTATATTTTCTGATTAAAGCTTTAGTACCTACGCCCAAAATTAGACCCAAAGCACCTGAGCTCATCAGATTTCAGAGGTTCGGGGGAAGGACAACAAACTAAGGACAGCAAAGTTGAGCCTGGAAAGTGCTTGGTTAGGTAATTATCATGCACAGCAAGATGCTATAGGCTGCTTCGTGGTGAGCAGTAGAGAGTAGTGCTGCAAAGTCTATTTTGTAATTGTATGCTTTCACATCTATGCTCTGCGCCTTAACCAAAACACATTGACCATTGTGAATAAATTTCGATTTAAAGCTTTCGTGACTGCAAGGATTCATCTTCTTTGGTTCTTTCGGTAAAGTCACGTAGAATGAGAATAAAATAATAAATCAATAAAATAAAACAATAAAATTCTCACGACGTTTCGGCCACAACACAAGTGGCCTTCTTCAGGTGAAAGGAACAGACCTGTCGGGACGACAGAGCTTCAATAAACGTTGTTAAGATTCGTAGCGTCTTTGAAGCTGGTTTAGAGAAGTGAGGCACCTTGACAAAGGGGTTTACATATCAAACAGGAGAATTTAGCATTGAAATAGCTGAGTGATGAGCATGTGACTGGTCACAGAAATGGCTATGTTAAAGTCAAAGCCTACACATCCACAGAGGCACCTAGTACAAATCAAACAGGAGAATTTAACATTGAAATAACTGAGGGATTAGCTTGTGACTGGTCATAGAAATAGCTATGTTAAAGTCAAAGCCTACACATCCACAGAGGCACCTAGTACAAATCAAACAGGAGAATTTAGCATTGAAATAGCTGAGTGATTAGCTTGTGACTGGTCACAGAAATGGCTATGTTAAAGTCAAAGCCTACACATCCAAAGAGGCACCTAGTACAAATCAAACAGGAAAATTTAGCATTGAAATAACTGAGGGATTAGCTTGTGACTGGTCATAGAAATAGCTATGTTAAAGTCAAAGCCTACACATCTACAGAGGCACCTAGTACATGGACGTCAAAGGGGCTGCAACAACTCAACTATCATACAGTAAACCGATGTGAAAAAAACCTAAGTCTAAATTACATCAATATAATAAATGTACTCAATATATTCTTCAATAAGCTGAGCTATTAACAGTAACTGGGTATACACTACACTATATAATGAATACCATATAGTAAACCAATAAAAACTAAAATATAAACTACCTCAATGTTATCAATAAACTCTATATATTCTCCAATGAGCTAAGCTACCAACAATAAGTCGTTATATATCACAATGCTATATGGCGAAAAAATGGGTGGATTCTTACCCTCAACTTCAGCACCACGGATAGCTACGAGCCCCGTTCAGACGGACGAGTTCATCCATGGTCGGAACGGAGGAGGGGGAGAGAGACAGCTGCGAGGCGCTGTTATACTCCATGTTGTAAACCATACCATTAACCGTGGTGTGAGAGGTATTAAGAGTCAATGCCAGCGAAAGAGCTGCGGTCTGAAGGTCATCGTAAAATACAATTAATTAAGAACGGAAATGGTTTAAAACATCTTTCCAATGGTTACTAAGCCAGAATCCATCTTCTCGGTTGAAATTGTCTCTGTGCTTGTATATGTGAATGGCCTCATGAACGAATCTCTCATGGTAGCCGGTTGGTTTGCAAAGAACCTCCGTCTTGGAGAAGTCAATGTCATGTGAGCCCACTGAATTATAACAGTGATCTGCCACGGCAGAGGAGTTCGTCCTACCGTGTTTCAAGTCTGCTTTATGTTCGCGGATGCAGTCCGAGCTATGTCGTTTGGTTTCTCCAATGTAGCCACTACCACAGAGGCACTTTAGTTTGTAAACGCCCGGTTACTCTATGTCTGGAACAGTATCTTTTACAGATGGAACCAGATCACGGATTTTATGTACTGTGTTCAATCGGACCTGGATCTTGTGTTTATTCAGGATTTTGGAGATCTTTTTAGTGACCCCTGCAATGTAGGGTAAGGTGATGGTTTTTGAGTGGCTCCACAAGAGGCTCCTTCTTCATGACTGGAGTGATGGTGAGCGTAGTCTGCCAGTCACAAGCTAATCACTCAGCTATTTCAATGCTAAATTATCCTGTTTGATATGTAAACCCCTTTGTCAAGGTGCCTCACTTCTCTAAACCAGCTTAAAAGACGCTACGAATCTTAACAACGTTCATTGAAGCTCTGTCGTCCCGACAGGTCTGTTCCTTTCACCTGAAGAAGGCCACTTGTGTTGTGGCCGAAACGTCGTGAGAATTGTAGTGTTATTTTATTTTATTATTTTATTCTCATTCTACGTGACGTTACCGAAAGAACCAAAGAACATTGTGAATAAGTATGATCAAATTACCCCCACCACCCGCACAGGGTAGCGTGGTGGAGGCTCTTAACCAGCAGTGGATTGAACAAGGAGGTGGGGGGGGGGGGGGGCAGCGGCTGGACATATCATAAAACGATCCCTCGTATATCATTTAATAGACTGTTGGGTCAACGGCTGTTAGCGTGGAGCACCGAGGAGACACGACGGAAGGGTGGTGGCCAACATAACGCCTGGACGCCTTTGTCTCCCCAGTGCTTACGCTTACAAGCTGCACATGGCACACACACGCACGAGGAGTCTATCATCCAGGGGAGGATTGATAAAAGGG